AATCCGTTTGCAGAAACATGACGGAAACGAACAATGGAGGAAATCTGCTAGCTTAAATATGACGGAAACGCGACTTGGCATTTCCCTCCCGGAAACGTCACGGAATCACGTAGACTTGAATTTTCACGTTTCCGCAAGACGTAAACATAACAGAAACATGGAGTTGCATGTTTCCGCCACATTTCAGAAATACGGAAACATGTGATTTCGTCCTGTGTGTTGACCGGAAAKTAAACCGGAAATGAATTTCATGAGGAGTGTTGAGCAATATCTTGAAACTTAGCTCGCTCACCAATCCTGATTGTTTGCATACAAGTAAAATGTTTTCTTCACATTCGTAAAGAAACTTTCAAAAAGTTATCTGGTGAAATTTAGTTTCCATCTCCCAATGGCACTTCCATAGAGAACACAAGAACACAAGTTCTACTAGATAATTTTTTTGCATACTACGTATTAGGTAAGAGAACTTTACACATTTTTCGAAATTAAAAACAAAAACTTCTAGTTCACCGAGTTAGTTTTTATGATATTTTCCAAAAATTGAATTTTGTAGGGTCTTTTAGAAGTGCGCTTTACCGTTGCCATAGCAACAGTTGGAGACTCGCAGACACCCTCAAAAATTGCCTGACAATAGTATTTAATAATAGGCCTTTTGCAGATTAGTGATCACATGGTACAAAGATCACCATATTGGAACGCAAATTGCGCAGTGGGACACCTAAACAAAGCAAGTTGATCTGATTTTCTTTGTTTTGGATGTCCCAGTGGGCAATTTGCATTCCAGTATGGTGGTTTTTGTACCAGCTGCAAAGGGCCCATTATTTGCCGAGAGCGAGGTGAATATCGGTGAGCAAAAACCGAGACGAAGACGAGGTTTTTATTCGCCGATATTCACCAAGCCTGGGGTGAACAATTGTTTTAAGAGTGCCTACCTGTAAAAATCAGACAAATTCTTAATTTCGCGGCAAGGGTCGGAAATTCGATTTCGCTCATATTCTTATGCTAGATAGGCTAGAGCATGACAAAAACTGCTGGATAGTTTTCTTGGCACAATATCCTTTCATTTCAAAGAAATATGCAAATTACCAAATTCCGTTAAAATCGTCATTTCACGCACCATT